GGTTTTAAGGCTATTATTTGGGTAAAAATGAGGGGTTGTGTTTGGCCAATAAAAGGGGACAGGGCTGGGCAATATTAGGGGTGGTTTTGGACATATGGGTTTGGGTTATTTGTGGGGGAACATGGGCAGGGATTAGTGGTTTGTGGTGGGTCAGGATTTTGGCTCTTTTTGGGTGTTGTGTTGGGGTTGTGAAATGTATTTTGTCCAGGGGGTGAATGGAATAAAGGGAGGGTTTTATTTGTTTAATAAAAGGCTTAAAAGAAGGAAAATAACAACAAACAAAAGGTTTTATTTTACACACTCTTATTTTTTGCCAGGGCTAAAATAAGAGTAGGAAAAGCTTTATTTTGAAATGAATTAAATGGCAAGGAGTTTTGGATGTTTAGGGTTGGGTTGGACGGAGTGGGATTTGGTCTGCGGAAACCTTGGGTCCGAAGTTATTCAGGCCTCTCGGGTTGAAGGACGTGGAATTCTCACTAAAACGGATCATAATGTTTGAACGTAAGTCCTTTGGTTTTTGCGAGGGTGTAGGACATGGGAGAGGGTATGATAGGGCCAGTCCCGGGTATAACACCTATGTAGTACAATAATCTTTTACATTATAGGTTTCATCTGATGAATAATGTGTAGACAAGAAAAGCATAGCAAATACTAGCTTATCTGCCTCTTCCACGTGGAAAAGTGACTGACACTTCTTACTCATGAAACACATACATTCATAATTTCATGAACATATGGCTGTGTGGTGTTTCGTTGATGTGCTCTAACAGACTAACAACACAACTTAGTATTGATATTAAACTTTGTAGGTCTCTCACAATGACAAAAGTGCAAAGAAAGATACCCTCAAGAGAAAGATTGCAGAGGCGAATGTAAATTCTAGCTCTAAGCTTATTGCGGCTAAATCAACATTTTATTGCATTTGGGTTGATTTAATTTCTTCATGATATTAGGTTCAAAAAACTGATGAAAAAGAAGACATTGAGCCGGAAGAAGAGAAGACAGTTTCCACCTGTTTTGATTATGTTTTGAGTGAACAATAGAGTAGAGATTGGATTATAATCCTCTAGCATGTTGGAGTTGCCATTCATAAAAATGGGAGAGAAACTTTTTAAACGTGGCTTGTGAATGTTTTTCCTAAATGGAGTAAGACAAAGACTTTGAGTCCGGGGTTCTCTTGGAAATAGCCCCTCTACTTTGCAAATAGGGATAAGGTTTGCATACACACTGACCCCACTTGGTGTAATTTTACTGGTGTGTTGTTTTTGTTCCTTGGTCCTATCCGCCGTCCAGATCATAGTTTGTAAAGCGGCAAGGCGAGGCGACGACTAGGCGACATACATACCTATACACACACACACACATACCTACCTACCTACCTACACATATATATATGTATGTATGTATGTATATCCATATGTATGTGTGTGTGTGTGTATATATATATATGTAGATATAGGTCTTATACATTTTAAGGAAGCTTAGCAAATAAGACCGAGAGAGAGAGAGAAGATAAGTTTAAGTCTATTAGGCTACACTAAAAGAAAATGAGTTGCACTAAAAAATGGGTTTTTTTCAAAATTTTAAAGGGTCCCAAGGCATCAAGGCGAGGTAAGGCGAATTAAGGCGAGGAAAGGCGACGCCTAAGCGAGCGCCTGGTTGCCTTAAGGTTTTCTAGGAGAGGCGAGCAGACAAGACGTCCAGTGACAGCGCCTTATCGCCTAGGCGACGCCTTACGAACTATGATCCAGATCTGACGTGGGATCTCGTAAGGACCTTCCCCCCTCCCCCCCACACACATACACACACTCCATGAGAGACGCCATTCGGAGAATGTTGGTCACAAGCTAATTTTGAAAATCCCTTAGCATGTACCATAATATTAAGGTGTGCAAAGTTGTACCATCAAGTACTCAAATGATCAATCATAGATGAAATTGCAAGGGTCCATGTTGTTCCACCTTCTATGTGCTTTGTTGCATTATGCCAAAGTGAAGAGGATTTGCTAGTGTATATCTATCTTACTTGATTCTGGTAATACCTTGTCATCTATCTCAATCAAGGGACTAGAGCAAGAGATAATGTTCTCTATCGGTGATGTGAAGTCTCATTATAAGGTATGGGTTCTCTATATTGTCATTGTTAATGTATTTACTCCTCAATAATTTCAATCCCTGTTATTATGTAAAAAATGATTATGTTGCATTTTATTACTCCATCAGTCCCTAAATAAACCGCACTTTTACTATTCAAAGGTCAAACTATATTTTCTTTCTTTTCTTCACAACAACAAACCCACTAAAATCCCACGATTGGGGCTCTTCCGCTCTTCTTACATTATTTGCTTTAATCACGTGTTACGATGAAATAGTCAAGTCACCACTTGTTTTATAGAACTTTTGAAATAGTCTTTAAATATCTTAAGTTTACTCCTTTTTTTTTTAATTTTACACTAATATTTAAATAATTAGAATTGAATATAACTTCAGTCAAACATTGTAAACCAAGATGTGGAGTTTAACATTGTACACCAAGACGTGGAGTTTAAAAAAGGGGCGGAAGGAGTATTAGTCATGTTCAATCTATATTTACATTAGAGCTTTTTTGTTTTATCTTCCATGTGTATAGCAACATGTATTACTTTTATGTGAAGCAATGTTTTACCATTAAGATCTTATGTCAGGGTGCAAACCTACTACCAAAATGGAAGGCATTTCAGACAACAATATATCTTGAAAGGGTGCGTTGTACAATTAATTTTTTGTGTATATACTGGCCCACAAATTGCAAAGATACAATATATAATTATAAAGCTATTGCAAGCTTAAAGGATATAGGCTTAGAACTAAGCACACAGCCTATGTACTAGTGTACTACTAAACTAAACCTCATACTTCTGTTTTTCTTTGGGACCTACATTCATAAGGCGACCCGTTATTTTTAGCAAAAAATCCCACATTTGGACCAAAAATTTTTAAAAATTTATTCTATATACCGACCTTCTATTTAAACTTTATTGAACCCTTGTGCTGTTTGAATCTATCACTTTGAGAACTGTACCTAAATAATTCTTATGCCCCTTTAAATACACTTTTATTGAGCTCGTATGCTTTTCGAATGAAGTACATCGAGCTCTTGCAAAGTATCTTCAAACATTTGGCTTTGAACTATTGGGTGATGCACAAACATTATCTAGCAAGTACTTTGGTTTAGTGCTTTGTTTATTGTTTTTGAATTGTTGGCTGGATGCATCATTCTACAATTCAAATTACTTAATAGATAATATTGATACATCTCACAATTCAAAGCAAAATGTTTAAAGCTCTTTACAGTTTACATAACTTCGATGTGAGAGGTTAGAGAAGTAAATGGATTGAATACAAGGTTTTGGATTAAAAGAATAATAAGTTAGAAAAGGTAAGGTTTCAATGTGATAGTTCGGAAATTGCATGGTCAATTTTGCATACTTGGTATAGATTGTAAATAACTATTTTAATAGTCCAATTTTGTGTGGATGTGTCACTGTGTGTGTGTGTTAAAGCTTTCTGTTGATTCCTGAATGATCTCATGTTCTTTGTTTATAGGTTGAAGGACTTCTTGACTCAAAAAAGATTGCTGCATTTGATTTTGATGGATGTCTTGCCAAGACAAATGTAAAAAGGTATTGTTTATATGCACAACACACTACCTTTACCTCATGTGTTCTGCTTGTATTTATTTATGTAATTATGCCCTCCATGTCGGAAAAAGATTCTTTAGCCTTTCTTTTTGTTTTTTTGGTCCCAAAATAAAGTTCCACTTTCCTTTTAAAGAAATGATTATATGTTTTACACCATTTCCCTCTTTTGCATAACTCTCAACCATTCAATTTTACCTTCTTAATAATTGTACGCGGTTAAATGTGGAACCTTAATTTTGGATGGTGGGGGTATTTCTTTCTTTATATATTTGTAATTTTCACAATACTACCAGCAAATATCCTTATTGTAGACATAAGAGAAAAATGACTGCTGGCTGGTTGATGAATAGATAATTTTATTGTAGTTCCATTTTTAAATGTAGAGTTGGTGCAAATGCTTGGTCTCTTATGTATCCTTCAATACCAGAGAAACTTCAGAGCTTGTACAATGATGGCTATAAGCTGGTTTGTATTTTTAGATCATACCTGGTTGTACTTTATTTTTGCATTCCGCATTAGTTCTGTTGAAGTTGATCAACCATATCTTACACTGTTTTGAAGTATATATGATCTGAAGCAATTACCTGATTTGGGAATTTACTTGGTTGTACTTTTACAAAAAGGTAATCTTTACCAATGAATCAAATATAGAGCGCTGGAAGAACAAAAGACAGACAGCTGTGGGCTCCAAAATCGGTCGACTTGCAGGCTTTATAAAGCTTGCGAAGGTCCCAATCCAGGTGGTTCACAATCCTCTTTTCTAAAAACCCCCTCCCTATCATCAATCCGTTTTTCAAGTAAAGTTCTGGGTGCGTGGTGTGCCTGCTTGCTTGCTCGCTCTAAATGTGCTGCCTGCTTCTTTTATTGAGTAATTCATTCATAAAGTGCTTTAATCACCAACTTTTTGTGAATTGAAGGTCTTCATTGCTTGTGGCTTCAATGCCTCAACGATTGACCCCTATCGCAAACCAAACATTGGAATGTGGTCTCTTCTTAAGAATCATTTCAATTCTGGACTTCCAATTGACATGGACAAGTTAATCTCCATCTTGTTGTATTGATTTTCATTTTTCTTGTCTTCATAATAATAATAATTATATATTGTAATAAATTATAACTTGTGTTGTTTTAACTTTTAATTCCATTATGATGTCAAATGTCTAACATATTCTATTCTAGATCTTTCTATGTTGGCGATGCTGCTGGTAGAGAGAAGGATCACAGTGATGCAGACATTAAATTTGCCCAGGTAACACATAATTTGATAGTGGGTGTGGTGCATATATTGACGGCTCAAACTTATTAATAAGACAAGTATTTTCATCTTGGATTGACTGCAGGCCATTGGACTGAAGTTTTACGTTCCTGAGGAATTCTTTTCTGTCTAGGAATATGTGTCACTCACCTGTGCGCATTGTAGTCCTGTTCCCGAAGAAATGTAGCATAATTAATATGGATATATATCGGGTTTTGTGTTGAAGAATGGTAAGTGGGAAAATGTCAATCAAGTAGCATGTTGTGAGAGCACAGTCACCTTAATATTTAGAGGGGAGTTTAGCTTGGAAAAAGAGGGTTCTAGCAATTTTAAGCAAGTGTTTGTGTTAACGTTCAACAAACTCATTTTGTTGAGGTGTGTCAATACAAGTTGTTTGATGGATAATTCCATGAGATTTGCAAAAGGATTGTGCACAAGTATCTTCAAACTCTTTTCCATTATTTCAGCGTATGACATTAAACATTAAATTGTTTTTCAATGTGAAGAATGTCACTAGAATGAGCATAATGTCATTTTAATTATGAAAATACGTTAGGAGTTCGTGTGTACCATTTAAAGATAAGACATCACTCCGAATAGGAGTAAAACATAACATTTATCCTGAAAATAAGAGTTACATATTTTTATTCCTAAAATAAAATTTTACACTGTGATATTATAACATTGTATAATGACATCTCACTATACATTTTAGTATTATATGTTGTTATTATTGATATTTTATATCGTTATGAAAATGAAAAACTTTTAAAATTGTAAGGAGTTTGGTATATATTTTGTAAAACATGGAGATGCCCGTGCTATTGCCCTTTTTAGATGATAGTAAGAGTTTTGTGTCACTTTGCAAGAAGCAAGCAAATGAATAATGCTAGTGTCATTTTTGATTGATTTTAGTTTGCTTGACTTCTTGAACTGCCAAAATTCTTGTTTGGTTAATGGCTTTTTTCACTTGGCTTTTTGATCCTAAATGCCAAATTTTAAAAAGTTAAGGATAGTAGCTTTTGTACTTGACTTTTAGAAAAAAAATATTTTAATCATATTTCTGAAAGATATTTTATAATATATGTAAAAAAAAATAAAAAATAAAAAAATGCAAAAAATAAAAAAACAAATTTTAAATTTTAAATTTTCAAAAAAAAGATATGAGAAATCAAAAGTAAAAATCATTAAAAAGTTATATATTAATAATTTCTTATGAATTATATGAAAATGAAATTTTATACTCCACATATTAGTGATTTAATTGTTACATGTATAAAAATAAAAAAACAAATAGTTGTGTGTGTGTACAATTGTACATATATACATACATGTATATATATGTATGTGTGTGTGTATGTTCTGGCGAGAATGTGATCATATGAAAGAAATAAGAATGAATCTAGTGTTTTAGATTGTGAGATTTAAGGTTAATGATTGCATCAAAATTAGCTGCACCAAAATGGTTTGAGAATGCGTCATATGTCGAAATGCACCAAAATCTTTTGGAATACATTATGTCAAAATCTGAGCGCATGATGCAATTTAAGCCGTCCAATGCATAAAACCCAAAGGCTATATTTTATTATTATTTCTTTCACCAAGATGCATTCTAATATGAACCGGCATATATATGTGTGTGTGTGTCTATATATATATATATATATATATATATATATATATATATATATATATATATATATCGAAACAGATATTTTCAAAGAACTAATTTTACCAAATATTTTTAACGATTAACCAACTCATTCTATCGGTAAAACTATATAAATTAAACAGCTATTTAGAGGCGCTGATACAAACAACTAACAACCAACACATAACAGCCAATCCAAACAAGGCCAGTGTATGATTATCACTACCGTGACACTGGGTACCAGAATATAGTTCCATCAGTTCCGGATTTTATTCTATCCGCGCCTATTATAAGAGAAATACCCGCTTGGAAAATTGTCAGTTTCTTTTCTTGTTTTCAACAACTGCTCTGGTAAGTGCCTGCGTATCCGGCGTTGCCCCGCCTCAGCCGTCCCCGCCAGCGCCGCCGCTGGCGGGAGCCATTTCTTGATCTCCGCTCGTTCAGGTCTTTTCTATTATCTCTTTCGCTCTCATTCTTCTCTAGCATCTGATTTTGTGTGAGCGCCGTAAGCTCTCCCATTCTGTCATCGTTTTCTATCTTCTAGTTTAATCTTGATCGCTCGCACAGTAAAATTAGGAGGTAGAATCGGGGAGGCTGTTGTTGTCTTGATGAAATTTTTCATGAAAGTTCATGGATGTATTCTGAAAATTTTCTAATGGATGCAGGATGAATGTTATGGATGATTGCTCTGTATGAATCTGTCAATTCAATCTATGTTCTATAATTCTATTGTATTGTACCTAATCTTTTGTGCGTGTGCCATATTCTCAATCTGTCCTAGTTTTCTATCTTGTAGTTTATCCTCGATCTTGGCACTGTAAAATTAGGAGGTAGAACATGCATTATACTACTTATCATGTCAATATTGTATTCGTAATCTTTACAATTTGGTTTATGGACGCCTTTGATTCACACTGTGAAACGGGGAGGCTGATCTTGTCTTCATGAATTCTGAAACTTTAGGAGCATATGTAGGATGATCTTGTCTTCATGAATTCTGAAACATGTATATATATGTATGTGTGTGTGTGTATGTTCTGGCGAGAATGTGATCATATGAAAGAAATAAGAATGAATCTAGTGTTTTAGATTGTGAGATTTAAGGTTCATGATTGCATCAAAATTAGCTGCACCAAAATGGTTTGAGAATGCGTCATATGTCGAAATGCACCAAAATCTTTTGAAATGCATTATCTCAAAATCTGAGCGCATGATGCAATCTAAGCCGTCCGATGCATAAAACCCAAAGGCTATATTTTATTATTATTTCTTTCACCAAGATGCATTCTAATGTGAACCGGCATACATATATATATGTGTGTGTGTCTATATATATATATATACATATATATACATATATATATACATATATATACATATATATACATATATATACATATATATACACATATATATATATATACATACATATATATCTGTCTTATTCATTTACTCCTACTCATCCGGTGTGGGACTTGGAGGAATCCCAACAGATTGCTACATGTAAATCTGTCTTATTCAATCTCTGCTACATTCTTTTGCCCTAGTCCCTAAACTTTTGCTAGACTGTTGCAAATTTATTCAATTTATCTTTGTTAGCTTGTTTAATGAATTAAGTTGCTGTATTCTCAGTGAGATCTTTTCCTCCCGGTAGATATAATCTATTATTATTGACTAATAATAACCGATATATCTCAGTTGATACCAAGCTTAACCAAAAACATTGGTTTGCAATCTTTGTTCCTTTGACAGGTCCTTAACATGAAGGTGTGTGGAATGCCAGGGTAGAACTGCCAGATGCTTATCCTCTTGTCTCCTTCTATCAATTATCCCAATGAGATTTATAATTGAAATATTGATGAAATGTGAGTTGCTCTCTCCTAATTTTCATGTTAATAATGAACTTATAGCAGGAATTGGAGGACATGTATTAATTGACACTATCATGTCTCTGAGTTTGCAGGGCAGGGACAGTTTGTTGTCACCTTTATTTGCTTAAGGCTCGGACAATTTTGAAGGAAGCTTGATAGGAAGTATTGCACGTACAGAGGACATGGCATGTGGGAAGTGACTGTGGCAGTGGGATGATCCATCCACATTGGCCAGATATTCCACTGGAGATATATATAGAGGTATGCTGTTTTGCCTGTCATTTCTTCTGAGCTCTGATTGAAATTGCTCATGAAAATTTCTTCAGAGTTATGATTAATTTGTGTTGTTTTGTATCAACAGAGGCACTGTCCTGTTCTGTTATGTGTTTACTCATGTCGGACATCTTCAATTATACTTCTGCGTTTTGTTTTCCTTCATTTATAATTGAGGCCTTTTTTTTCAGAACACTCTTGAAATGGAGCCTAAAGATGTTGATAATCTGTCTTATGGACTATGGATTTCATGCATTGACCATGTGATGGCCTGTTCGCAGCACACGAATGATCAGGTACATGAAACTCATCATTGTTTTAATCTGATTGCAGTAAACTCTTCCTTGTAACTCCTCTTATGTATCACCGGTGCATCTTAATTGTTACTTCCACTGTGTTTTCTCATATAGTCCAATGGTATGATGTCTTTTTTCAGAAGCCGAGGCAGGGAGATTCCTTCTTTTTTTCGTAGCGCAGCATACAGGGATACATTTCTAACCATTTTGATCTTTTCAGGTACTTTTAAGATTGTTTTAGTTATTGTTTCCGTGCCCTGGTACACACTGTACAAACATCTGACCGGTATACACACATTTTCAGGAAAAATGGACAGGAGTGCTGTTGAACGCGAGCTTGCTCAGCTGGGACAACAACTGGAACGTGAGATGCAGCTGCTCGATCAGCTTGGCCAAGCACCACGGGACGTCTATGCCCGTCCGGAGTTTGGGGGATGGGAAAGTGTAGAAGCGCAGGGTGCCTTCATCGACTGCTGCATCAGGGTGACGAGGTTAAATAGAAGGATGCGCGAGCTTCATCGCCAACTGGTGCACAGCCGTCTCTAGACCTTTTCTTGTGCTGTTCTTTCTTTCATGCTGTTCAGTTTTAATTTGTTGGATTTGCTCCTTCTTATGTAGTCTAAACTGAGGTTTAGACTAGATTCAAATCGTGGTTGAACATGACTTTTGTTCCTCAGTGCCCAAAAACTCATTTGTTCTTAACATTGCATCTTCCTCTGTTTTGAAGACTTGTTAAGATTCTTCAAACCCAAACCTTAATTAAGGGGCACTCACTCCAAAGGAAGTTCCCATCAATGGATTGAATCTTCCTCATCAGAGTATGTACCTTGTTGATGTCGACTCCTTAGTATTAATATTATGATTAGGATATTAAGATTTGGATTAAGAGATTAGGATTTAGATTGGGTTAAACGGGCCTTTTTCCATATTTTTGTTAAACCCTAACAATTTTTGTGTGAAGGTCCATGAATTAGACGTGGATCCAATGTTTAGTTACAATATTTTGTGGAAGGAATACTATTTTTTTGGATATACTTTGTATAAAAAAATATTAGAAATTTATTAGAGATGAGAAACGTACCATCCACGACTTGGAACTACTAGTCAAACATAATTTTACCAAGAAATGTTGGCACAACATCATTAACAAAACATACAGTGATACGAGCAAGCACATTATATATTACTCCGTATTAATTATTATAAGTAGTTCTCACATAGGGAACTTATTAATTAAACCAAATCCAAAAGTGATTGGTTAGGTGCACACACACTCTAGCACCCAAAATAAAACAGACACACATACACACTTACTAACTAAACCAAATCCAGAGGTGATTTTGTTAAGGACACACAACTATACAGATGATGATCGCAGAATTACAGTTCAGAATTAACACTGCTTCTTGGGTGGTTGTTACTCACGTCAATTATCCTAAAAGAGAAAAAACAAACAATATGTGTTGATTACTTGTCGTGCATAATAATTGAATAAGAAAGAAAGCTATATACTCAATCAATCCCCGAAAGAGTTCTATTTTTCTAAACACTACTTCCGTCTTTTAAAATTCTTTTCATTTTGACTTTTAGAGAATTTAAGAGAGATGTTTTTGTGTTAATTTTTTGAAATACCCTTGATGTGATGGATAGAATTAGTAAAGATAAACGTGGTTTTTAAATACGGAGTATAAAAAGAAAAGATTTTGTGGGACACAAATAAAGAAAGAAAAAAAACCTTTAAGCCCGGAAAGAGTATTTTATAAGATGAAATGTGAACTAAGAGTAAAATGATATGAATCACACTAGCTTTTAGAAATGAAAAGTTTAATTTCATGACTGATAAAGAAAACTGAGGAAAATATATATTTTAACTTGAAAAATATACTATTTCCATCCCCAATTAAATCACCTATTCTGTTTTATAATATTTGACAAAAGTTATTCTCAAGTTCAATGCATTTAAAAACTGGGGTGAAATTAGAAAAATAAATTTGACGTCTATTTAGAAATTACATCAAAAGTTTTATGAAAATAAGAGGCAATACATTATTTTAATTTATTAAATGAGTAACAGAAATAGATAAAGAAAGTGAATGATGTTTGATCACGTGAATAATACAAAGTGAGTAATATTTTTCACAAATAAAAACAACAGAAATAAAATGAATGAACTAAATATTAATATTATATTTGGTTCATGGAATTTGGAAGGAAAAGAAAAGAAAATGGTTTTTCCTCCGTTTCCTCACCAAAATGGAATGAATTATGTTTTCCATCCTCTTAATACATTTTGCCTTCTCATTTTTTTCCTTCTACTTTTTTTTCTTTTCCTCTCTAACCAAACAAGAAAAATATTTTCTTTCTCATTTTTTTTCTTTCCTTCTCAAATTCCTTGAACCAAACATAGTATAAATGAGAAGAGCAAAATAGATTTGGAAAGAGCATTGCCATATATACCATATACCTTTTTCTAGTGGAACTGAAGCGATTCCCCTTTGTATCTAAGCAGTTTGACAAATTTCTGAGGCATGGAAAAGAACATACTCCCTCCGTCCATAAATAAACTTTACATTGCGCGTTACGATGTTTGACTGAAATTATTTTCAAATCATTTTATATGAAAAATGGCGTAGAATTGAAAAATAAAAATTACATATTACGTAGTAAAAAACTATATCAAAAGATCTATAAAACTAGAGGTGACATGACTATATTATTTTATCAAATGAGTGACGAAAATAGGCCAAAAAAAGTGAATAAAGTTTGACCTTGTGAATAGTAAACGTAAAGTTTATTTATGGAGGGAGGGAGTATATTAATAGAGTCGTTCTACTAAATTACGGCGCTTAAACTAATTGTAAATAATACTCCACCCACTTTAAAATTGATAATCTGCCTCTTTACAAAAGCAACGAGTATTTTCCAATGTTTTGAAAACCGGACCGGACATCGAACCGGACAAGCCACTGGGTCAAGAGTCAACCAGTCGAACCGGGTTGACTCGGGTCAACGACCCGGTCAACGACCCATTACTTGGTATATAATATTCATATTTATGTTTAGATAATAAAAAATTAAATAATACCATATTTTGTGAACTATTTTTAAAGATAATAAAATATTATCACATAACTTAAATATGCATATTATTTCAAAATAATACGAAGCACATACTCCCTCTGTCTAACTTTAATATTTCCATTTGAATCGGACACACATATTAAGGAAAGATGTAAATGTTATTGTCGATGTTAAATAAAATATTTAAAATTGCATTTTTTTTCTTCTTTATGTTATTTTCAATGTCATTGTTCATATACTCTTTCATACTTTCCATATTTTATTATAATTAGTATATATTTCTTAATTTTATAGATGATAATATTTGTTTAGATATAAATTATTCATTACTGTTTAATACAAAAAATAATTTTTTTTTACTTTGAAATATTTTAAAAGATTATAAAATAATCACACAACACAAACATGATCTTTCTTACAAATAGTTAGAAGTTTTCTTAATTTACTTAACACAAATAAAAAACACTATATATACTATTCTGCATGACTCTTATTCAAGAGTTGAGTAGTTTAAGTGGTTATAGACTTGAAGAATTATATGGTGAGGTCTAGTGTTCAAATCCCAGCTTCATCATTTTATTTTGTAGGCAAAAAAAATAAAAAAAAAACTTTAGAAAGAAACCCGCGAGCCGGCCGTGTCGACCCGGTTCACCGGTTCCGCCGGGTCTACCGGGTCAGGGCAGGTCGATCCTGATCCCGGGTTTTACATTTGAACCGGACCGAATTCCTCACCGGTTCGCGGTCCGACCGGCCGGTCCGGTTCTAATAACATTGGTATTTTCTCGCCTAAAGTTTTGAGCTAAATGATGGGCCATTTTACTTTTTTCTTATAGAGCGATGTTAGGAATAGATGGTGTTTGGGAGTGATTAGCTTATTGATAAAGTGATTTCTACAAAAGCTGAAAACAAAAGCACCTCATACATGCTTCTCCGAAACGGTGTTCCATGTACAAAATAATGTTGGTTAAAAGCAGAAGCTGACATGCCAAACAGAGTAAAATCACTTTCACTCAAAGCAAAAGCTAAATTGTTAAAAGCAGCGCACTGCCAAACACCCTAATAGACAATTAACCACTCTTTGATCTTCTTATTCGCACCAAAATTACACTTGGGTACATTGCCCCTAACATTTTTCCTTTGCCTAAATGTCCAAAGGCAATTGATATCTATACTCCACCAATATTAATAGCACTCCCCATCTATCCTGTTCTTTTCAAATTGACAATAATACCCTTAAATTAAGTTTTTAGTTCGCCTCTCCAAGAATGAGGACAACTCAAGTGCCACTCCACAATTGAAAACAACTAAATTCACTTTCTAATATTGACAATTTCACACTAGCTCAAAAAAATTCAAAAATTTAAATTTCTTATTAAAATTAAAATAATTGATATATCATTTGATTCACATTTTTTGTTTTCTTTAGATCATTTTTATGTCACACTATTTTTGTTTTAAACTACATTTAGTAATATTTGTGTGATATGATGGAAAAAAATTAACATGGTTAGTGCTTGAGTTATTATTGCCAAACATATCAGAACTTGTGATTATATATTATACTCTCAATTACTCCATAATAAAATATAGTTTGATCGAGTAAATAAAGTACAAAATAGAACGGTTTTAAGACATGTAAACTTAGAAAAAAAGTTGTAAAAAGTAATGAGTGTAAATCACACAAACATTACAAAATATAATTCGAGACAAAAATTGTGTAACATAAAAAAATTTAAAATATAAAACAAGTGAAGTAAAAAGTATTTTTATAAAAAATATAAAGTATTTAAAAAATAGTGGAGTGCAAATTAAGCTAGTGTTAATATCACAAAAAAAGACATTCTTCTGTGGTTCTAAGATACTGTTCATATTATGGACCTTAGTGTATTGATGTCATAAAAGAATTATGCTTTTAGCAATAAAAAAAGATCTACTTACTAACCCATGAAAAATTCTAGTATAAAAAAGTTCATATTTTACAACCTCACGAAATGAATTTAGCTATGGTAAATGGAAATATTGGCATTGCTCTCAATTTGGAAGGATGAGCTTCATCCACGAGGGTCTTCTCAGACCCGATGGATAGTTACTGAGAGGAGGTAAACTCAATTTTGATTGCAGGTTGGTGGCAAAGAGTGAAGCTTGCACTTAATACTTGAAAAGACCATGCTTATCATAATTATTTTCCAGAGCGAAATTAGCAGGAATGAAATTGAGATCTTACTCTTCGCACGTCTACTTTACGTACTTCACAACACTAATTGCTCTCAATTTGGAAAGAGGTAGAAAGGTATGGAGGGAGTGGAGACGCATTAACTTTGGTGAGGAAAGTAACAAAAATTGCCAATGGGCCCGTATTAAACGAAAAAGCCGCTTGGTAAATTTTCAGTTTCCTCGATAACGACTGTTCTGGACTTCGGGTAAGTGCTTGGGTCTCCGGCTTCGCCCCGCCTCCGCCTCCCCGCCAGCGCCGCCGCTGGCGGGAGCGATTTTCCAGGTCCTTTTCGTTCTCTCTCTTTCGCTCTCATCCTTCTCTCACTTCGGATATTGTGAGCATACCGTGAATGATCGAATCTTTCATCGTCTTCTATCATCCAATTTCACATTTCATCATTTGCAGTGTAAAGATTAGGAAGTAGAACGGGCCTTGTACTGCTTATTACGTCGATAATTTATTTTTAATCTTAACAATTCGGTGGATGAATGTGTATGATTCACAATGAGACACCTGCAGGCTGTTCTAATGGATCGTCCGACTAGGTTTAAATGGATCGTTCTACTAATGGATATAGGACAAAAGGTTTGGATGTTTGCTATGTGTGGATCTGTCTAATTTGATCGATGATGTTCTATTGTATTGCCCTAGCCCCATAAATCTTTTGTTCAGCTGTTGGAAATTCGTTCCACTTATCTTCGCTTGCTCTTTTGATTAATTGAGTTTATGAGTTCTCAGTTGAGACCTACTTTCCATATTTTCTGTGTTCGGTACCAAGTTTAACTGAAAAGATTTATCTGTAATCTTTGACAGGTCCTCAACAGGGGTGTGTGGAATGTCAGGGATCTGAAAGATGCCTATCTTTTTTACTGCTGCTGGTTTTGTGAATAAGATTTTCCATCCAAATGTTGATGAAATGTGAGTTGGTGGACATTGTTCTTTCATAATATCCATGTTTATAATAAACTTCTTGCATGAATTGGACATGCTATGGATCAATTAGTCTACTCTTTCTTGCCTTTGGGTTGGAGGGCAGGCAAAGTATGTGTAGATGTTATAAACCAGAGTATGGAGTCCTATTATTGCTTTGAGTTGTCTACAATTTTTGAGTTTGAGATAGTCTATTTAAGAATAGATAACTTTAATCCGGGTTTGTCAGTCTTTCTGGAAATTTCAATCAACAAATCCTACTAAAAAACCTAAATTGAGGTACTTAATGATCAGTGCCAGAAGTCCAGAACTTTACATCAATGAACATTTTGAAATGTTGTGTGGCAAAGTAATGTGCAATGTTTTTCTGTTCATCTCCTTTCCTCTGAGAGAGACAAGATGTGGGGTGGGATGGGCAAGTGGGTCCCCAATGTGCAATACCACCTTCACCACCCCCAACCACATGCACACCGACTTCACTGGGAGTTTGGTCCGATCATTCTTTAGGTTGTTATATGACTTATATCAATTGAACCTCCTGGCCTCCCTTTTAAACGATGTACAATGTTTTAACAATTTGACAATGATAAGATGGAATTGATGATTTCAAAGGGGATCTGTTCCTCTCCTCTTATGCTCAACTGTGTTCGTTTGTTTCATTACCTCAAATTTAGGAGAGTATTTCTTAAAGATTCTGTTGAGCTCCAAAGCACACGCTACATTGTGCGTCTTGAATGCGATCATTTAGTATGTTTTATATGATGTGAGCATTATTTACAAGTTAATACATTTCACAATATATCAGCATTTTGCACGTCTAAAACATTCGAGATAAGAAAACAATTTCTACTATGAACATCTTGAGAAATCTATTCTGCCCCATGCTTAATGTTTTTCACTTTTTATTTTTATTTTGAAGGTTCATACCTAGTGATATTCATTGTATATTCAAGGTTAATAATCAGTCTGTATATACTTCCTCTGCTCTAAATTTGTTGTCCTATTAATTGTGAAACAGATTTTAAACAATTTTTATTTTGTCTTTTCTTAGAAGGGCGATATGGGAAACTAGAATTATTTATGGTATTTATTCTAGTGGAAAACGTATTGGAGCATATATGATGTGAGCATTATTTACTAGTTAATACATTTCACAATATATCAGCATTTTGCACGTCTAAAACATTCGAGAGAAAAAAACAATTTCTACTATGAACATCTTGAGAATTCTATTCTGCCCCATGCTTAATGTTTTTCTTTTTATTTTGAAGGTTCATACCTAGTGATATTCATTTTATATTCAAGGTTAATAATCAGTCTGTATATACTTCCTCTGCTCTAAATTTGTTGTCCTATTGATTGTGAAACAGAATTTAAACAATTTTTATTTTGTATCTTTTCTTAGAAGGGCGATATGGGAAACTAGAATTATTTATGGTATTTATTCTAGTGGAAAACGTATTGGAGCATATAAGAAAACCTCTCTTGATGGTTCCTTTTGTTTTTACTTCAGTCATGGGTTCATGTGATCATCCATTTTCATTATTTTTGAAGGTTAGTTCAGTTAAATCTTATAGAGATAATTTTGGGGGAAGCTTGTGAGGGGGTTTTGCCAGTATAAAGGATGTGGGAACTCATGGTAGATTTGGCGGAATTATAATATTATTTCTGCATGCTCTTAATCGTGCAGAGTCTGGCATATGGTCCAGGACTGTGCTCTTGACAGTCCAGTGGGTGTAGGAAGAGAAGGTGGCGGTGGGATGATCCATTTCTGTCTGTCAGATATCCCACCGGAGATGTGCACCAAATGTTTTGAGGTCTGCGTTTTCACCTGTCATCCATTCTGATTAAAATTGCTCACAACAATACTCTTTGCTTACACTGTAATCTTTAACTCTTTATTACCAAGTGTTTGGTGTTAACAGTCTTCAGTAATAAACCTGTGCTGCTTTTGAATCAACAGAAGCACTATCCTGTTCTTTTCCGCATCCACGATTGAGTTATGGGGCATCATGGTAGCTCTTGCTATAAACTACTCGTCTTTGACATCTTCCATTTTGCTTCTCCATTTTATCCTTAACAGTTGAGGTTTGTTTTTTACTATGGAACATTTTACCCTCAGAGTACTGCTGTAAGATGTTGCTAATCGCTTTTTGGACCCTGGATTTCATGCACCGAAATGTGATGGCCTGTTCGCAGCACAGAAATGACCGGACCAAGTAAAAGGTACATAAAATTCACTTTTAAATTTTTTATTGCATTTAAGTCTTCCTTGCAACTCCTTTTACGTATCACAACAGCAAGGGTCATCTTGAAATGTTACTTCCACTGTGTTCTCTTATACTCTTTAGTATATTTTAATGGTAAAATGCCTTTTTTCCAGAGGCGGAGGCAGGGAGATCTCACTTCTTTTCTAGCATATGAGGGCCGTTTCTAATCATTTCGTCTTTTTCATTTTTTTCAGGTAGTAGTCCCTCCGGGATCTATTTTTCCTTAATTATCGTAGCGTAATCATGCATTGTACTTAAACTTGTGTCTGATATATACAGGAAAAGAAATGAACAACGCTGCGATTACACAAGAGTTTTACCAATTGGGCCTAGAACTGGAAGATGAGATGCAATTGCTTCATGAACTGGGACAACACCCCCGGGACATCCATCCCTATTCAGAGTTTGGGGGATTTGAAACTGCAGAAGCGCAGGTTGCCTTCTTCGAATGTGCGAACCGGGTGACGAGGATAAGGAATAGGATGCGTGAGCTTCATTGCCAAATGGTGATCAATCGTCTTTAGACCCCTTTCTTTCCTTCTTTCATCTTTTTTAATTCGTTACCTTAATTAGTTTGTTGGTTCATAGTCTAAACCGAGGTTTAGACTAAATTTACATTCCACTTGAACGTGATCCTGCGACAGTTTTGTTTAGCATTCAAGTTCAATACGATTACAGAAAGTGAGTTTTTGTTAAATACAAAAGTCTTGTTTTGTTTGATTTTAATATCAAGGCATTACTATAATAGGTTCAGCCTTTTTTTTGGTAAGTTTGGAACATTGATGTGAATATGTGATAGCTTGGGAGTAGTGGGAGCATTGATCCAACCCCTAATGTTGTCCAAGTAAATTAGCCTATTCGGCCGATGTGGGAAGTCGGGCACTCAACACGCTCCCCTCACATGAGAGGCATATTACTGTAGGTGATCCAAACTTCAACGACATTAGCTCCGATACTATGTGAAATATAGACTTAGACCCAATTCAATCTCAATTCTCAAAAGCTAACTCAAAAGATCGAGATACCAAAGATATTATAAATATAATAATATTAGCCTATTTTGCTGATGTGGCCTCTTGGAAATTGAACCTTCAACTGTTACCGACCCCTAACACTATCCAAGTAAACGCCCCCTCGAAAATCTAAGAGGGACCGATTTTGGATGTGATGAAACGAGATGCTAGTTGAGTAGATTTCTCTCAAAATATTCATCTTATGCGTGTCTAATTTTTTTTTAACATTCTTGATCACGCGTTTAAAATTTAAACAGGTTATTAATACACGTTTGAGACATAGAGCCGAGACTTGTTAAATGGCTACCATGCACCCCTATTGTGGAGGCCATGCATGATACACCTCCTCACTTCGGACTCAATCATTGAACATCAAATCCTCAAATTTTAATTTTTACTGTCAAATTAGATAAGTTTTGATAATCAATTACTCCGTATATAAGAATTATTGATTATATATTAGGTGCTCTTGCGAAGCAAATACAAATCTAGTCGTTTTGGATGGACCTCTTTTCTGTAAGGAACGAAAAAAATATTTCTCTACATAGGAGTAAACCTTAATTACAATACCGCAACGGTAGTCACCTAGTTTTATACTCTAAATAGACATGTATTGGCATTGTGATGAAAAAGCGATAATACTCTAATATGGAAGTGTGATCGATGGGTCACTGGTCAACACTTGAATAACAGTGGCAGATCGCAATATGGTAGTGGCAGAGTGACAATATGACAGGTGGCACTATAACAATGACAATGCAAATTCTTATTTTAATGTTTTTTTATACTTTTTTTTACTCTTATTTGGAGATTCTTCCATATAAAAGTTAAGAAACAAACACTTAAATTACATTTAGGGATCAACAAAGAATATAGATTTCATAATGCCACAATTTAAAGTTCTTATAATAGAACTCTAGAAGGCCTTAAACATATAGTCTCCACTCATAATTCTCTCAAAATAGAATGAGACATTTATTTTGAAACATCTAAACAAAGTTAGGTCATGTTCTCCTCATCTTATTTTTTATGTATTATTCCCTCCGTCCCGTTTTAAATTGCCCGTTTTGACTTTTGGGCATATTTAAGAAAAATTAAAAATAGAGTTGATTTTTCAAAATTGTCAATATTTTTAGGAGAGATGATGATGAATGAGAATATAATGTGGAGAAGATTAACTTATTTTAGAGGTAGTTTAGGTATTTTGTTTTTAAAAGTTTACGAAAACAACTAACAGGCAACTTATTTTGGGACGGAGAAAAAAGACAAACAGACAATTTAAAATGGGACGGAGGTAGTACTTATTTTTATTGGAATAAGATCAGACTATATCGGATCATAAATAGCTTTATATATTAGATCAAAGCAGATTAAATCAAGTCAAAACTTATTCTAATCAGATCAAGTGAAGAAAACATGGCCTTAGTAAGACATTTATTTAGGACCAGAAGGGTAACATCTAAGCAAACTTTGTTACTAAGACAAGTATTGCATATTACAAGGGACTAAATTTAACATTCAACAATTACAAAGGCATACATTGCAATGCTACCTAAGAGAATGATCCTTAAAATGAAAGAAATTTTTTTTAAAAAAAAACAAATAAAAAACTATGAAATACAGTATCTAAAATATGGACTGCTCCCCCAACTCTTGACCATCCATTCCTTCCCTAAGAACTCTCTCAAAGAATTCTTCCAAAGTATCTGTCCCATAACTTGGGGTTTTCTCAGCATTGTATTCTCCCGTCTCGGGGTCGAAAACCAACATACTTTCAGCAGCGTAATACCTACCGATCTTCCCAAACTCCGCGGCGTCCTCCAAAGAAGGGAAAGTCTTGGCCAAAAAGTCAAGTACCCCTATGCCGAAATCCATGACCTCAATGGGTACCTTGATGAACTTTGGCTCCTTGCCCGCGATCCGGAACAACATCTCTCCTTGCTCCAATGGAGTCAATGCTTTCCCTGGTCCTCCAATGGGTAATGCCAGATTCATCTTATTCTCGTCCGTGACACAGTCTGCGATGAACGAAGCCAAGTCACGCTCGCTTATAGGCTTGCACGCGCACAATTTCCCGTTGCCAAACATAACATAAGGCATCCCATCCTTGACAGGCTCAACCTGCCCTCCCAAGCTCTTGAAGAACGCGGTAGGCCTCACAATGCTGTAGCTAAAAGTGTCATCTTCCTCGGACTCACGCACCAAATCAGCCTCGAATCTCAGCTTGGCGCGCTGAAATTCGAGCAGAGGCTTCTGCACACAGATTGCAGAGAGCAGCACAAAATGCACAGCCCCAAGTTTTCTCCCTACAACAAGACTGTTCTTGGTGGCCTCATAATCAATAAGCCATGAGTCCTTAATCCCACCGCTTCGACTCGCGAGGCATGAAACAACCACATCAAAGGACACACCCAAGCCCTCCAAACTCTTTTGCAAATTACCCAAACTGGTCACATCAGAAAAACACACATTGGCTCCATCAAACTGACCTAAAGTCTCTTCTTTACCATACTTCCCTTTAATCCCACTTCTCTCCCTGCAAACAGCTATCACATTAAACCCTCTTTTAACCAACTCTTTAACCACAAATTTGCCGATATACCCGGTCGAGCCCACGACAAGAACATTGACATCCCTTGGGTTTTTGCTCCTGAATGACTGCTTTTGAGCTCTTACAGTGGCAGTACCCGAGCTAGCGATTGGGTAGAGTTTATTTCGTCTAGATGGGGAAGAATTTGACAAGTTACGGCGAATTTGAAGAGCGTAGGAAAAAGGGTTGGGATTGATTTGAGGGATAAAGAAGGGTTTTGGGAGAAACTGCCCCTTTGGGAAGATGGAAGTGACTGAAATAGACATGATGATATTGGGAGAGGAAGAAGAACTGGACAGGGAGAATGAAATGGAGATTTAGAGAAAAGATAAGGTGGATCTCTTGTGTGGAGGAGCATAAGAGCATACATTTGGTGCATTAATGGATAGTCATTGAATTTGACAAGAATATGCCCACAATTTTCTGCACATCCACAGACCTATAATTGGGGGAAACAAAGATTTATGAGCAAAACCATTTTTGAAGGAAAAGAAGAAGCATTACAATATATTTTAATTGTGCCCAAAAAGTAGAGCTTTTTTATATACATTTCCTGATAGAGAAGATGAATTACATTATTTAGTTAGTTATTTATTAATTAGTACTCCCTCCGTCCCATAAAATTTTTCTTCTTTCTTTTCTTATCCGTCCCACAAAATGCTTCTCATTTTTATTAAAAAGTCACTTTTACCCCTTACTTTTTCATACCCTAACTATCACATCATACCTTTTTACTAATAATCTATCCATCAAATCATACTTTTACCCATCACATCAAAGGACATTTTTGGAAATTCAATACCAAAATACACTCCCCTTAAATCCCTCCTAAAAATCAAAACTCCCACGTTTCATGGGACGGAGGGAGTAGTATTATATAGGTACTCATGATTAGGTTTTAGTATGGGGGCCAAGCCCATTAGGTTAATTAAGGTTTCTCGTATCTCTATATATTGTACTCTCGTATTATTATTATTCAATCAATAAAGAAATATCAAAACCCTAATCTCTTTCTCTATTCTCTTGGAGCCCGGAAACGCTCGAAGTTTTTCATCTTTCTGTTACCGGCGAGGAGATTTCGTAGGGAAGAAGGAAATCTCGTAGCTAATAACAGAAAGGAGAGAAGAAAGAGAATTCTTTGGTGGAAAGTGGATTAGGATGAAAAATATCTCTTCTTATTATTCCACAAGGTTACACATAGGATAATAGCATACTTAAACAAAAATAGAAATAGAAAATATAGCTAAAGACTGCATCATTTCCTCCCCCTTGACTAGAGCTTTGTCCTCAAAGCTGGAAGTCCGGAAATCGCTGCTGGAAGGACTCGGACCACTCCCAAGTAGCTTCAGTTTCTGGTACTCCAAGCCATTTGACCAAGAATTGCACCCCAGCCCTATTTGCCTTTTTTTGAATTCTCCTGGACAGAATGGCCTCTGGTGTGGGGTAACTATGGTTATTAGTATTGTGGAACCAGTAGGGAATATGTGGTACATCTGGTATATCTCCCCTGAATTGTTTGAGCTGGGAGACATGAAATACTGGATGCACCTTGGCATCAGTGGGCAGCTGTAATTTGTAGGCCACCTTGCCTACTTTGGACAAGATTTGGAAGGGTCCAAAGTATTTAGGACTCAGCTTCTCGTTAGATCTCTGTTGAACACTGCTTTGCCTGTAGGGCTGGAGCTTCAACCATACCCAATCTCCTAGGTTGAAAACCCTCTCAGACCTGTGCTTATTGGCTAACTGTTGCATCCTGTTCTGTGCCCTCTGTAGTTGGTGTTGTAGTTGCTTGATCATGGCTTCCCTCTTCTGTAAGAATCTGTCCACTGCTTCCACGGCTGTTTCTCAAGGTAAATAGGGCAAATGGATAGGTGGGGGCTGACAGTACACAGCTTCATAAGGAGTCATCTGTATCGAAGAGTGAAAGGTAGTGTTGTACCACCATTCAGCTAGAGGAATCCACTTGCACCATTCTCCTGGNACTATGGTGTTTGGCATTCCATGTAGCTTGAACACATTGTCCAAATAACTCTGAGCAACTTCCAATGCAGTATAGGGGTGAGATAAGACCATAAAATGGGCATACTTACTCATCCTGTCCACCACGACAAA